AAGTCTCAATACTAATAAACACAAATAAGAAATATATCCCTTCTGGCACCGGTTTCTTTGCCGTTATTAAAAATGGATGCCTTTCAGGCATTGTGGGAATTAAAATCCATAGGTCCAGGAGATTCTAACTTGACAGAGGAGATTCAATCATCAATGCCAGTCTATCCTTTATCCCCTGCAGGGGCTCTGCAAAGCACGATACAAGTAACTTCCTACCAAGAAACTGTCAAAGGAACAGAAAATGCCTCTGGTTAGAGGAACTGATTTCTTGAAAGTGAAATTCCCCCACCCCACCCCCTGTGCTTATTAAATGTGGAAGCTGGCATATCTCCTGCAATACTGACTTTTCTCCATTAAAACTCTCACTTTTTGTCAATAAGGCATCTTCATATAGCCATGAGAGAGGGAGGACTAGGGGTGGAGGAGAGATTTGATTCAGTTTGCATTTAAAGGAAAATCTATCAAATGTGTACTTTCTGGAACAATAGAAGAATAGAAACACAACCATCCTTCAAAATTGGAATTTTGCATTTAAGTTCTCTAAGCAATCAATGTGTGTGTGTGTGTGTGTGTGTGTGTGTGTGTGTGTAGGAGGGAAACGAGCATAGAAATGGCATATAATTAATTAAATTTGCAGACCGCCCTTCATCCAAAGATCACAGAGCTACCCAAACTTAGGTCTCCAGCTGTTTTTCAGACTACAGTTCCCATCATTCCTGATCACTGGTCCTGATAGCTAGGGGTGATGGGAGCTGTAGTCCTAAAACAGCTGGAGACCCAAGTTTGGGAAACCTTGTGCTGAAAGATACAAACTGAATCCTGCAGACAACAGATGGATGAGCCTAGGCTGATTCTGAAATGTTTTCTGTCTAGAAACTCTTGATCAGCCTCTACTCACTCCTGGCTTAAGGTCAACTCTTAAGGGAGACACGCTTTAAAGCCAGGGATGGTTCCTTCAGAAGCTGTTAAGCCTGCTCCCATCACACCCATGTAGCATGGCCATCGATCAGGAATGATGGGAACTACAGTTCAGCTGCATCTGTAGAGCTTCTGCATCCCTACTTTAAGGATTCCCTGCCTGCCATCTTGTGTTTTTATTTAGAGCCTTGTCAACTTTAATTCCACGCTCTTTTAAGTGCCCAGGGTCCCTCTTGCCACAAGGAGAATATATGCTTCACTCCAAAGCAGGCAGGTGTTTCATACATTTTACATTATTGTCTTTCTAAAGATCCATTAGCACGCCGTCTTCCAGTCACAGAAGCTGCAATTATGGCCGCTGCACTTTTAATACAGAACCACGGTGCTGCGTTAAAGCTTTGCACTGTGAAACCAAGCGGAGTTCAAGAAAGGCAGAGCTCTTTTCAGAGACCCTTAAAAGCAAGACTCCTCTGCTCCAGTAAGAACCACTGGGTTGGTAAGACACAGGGCTTCTTGTCATTTCTTTTGCTGTCCTTTCCCCCTACCAGCCACAGACATATAGGAGAATGAATTGCAGTCTGGTCAAGCCAAATGGTAGTTGGCTGGCTCCATTTTCAATAACGTATTAAGCATTGATCTGCACAATTGCTGTGGGCTTTAAAAAAGCAAATCTAGCCCAGGGAGAGAGGGTATTTTTCAGTTCTCATTCCCTCATGGGGAAACCTTCCATGCATGCCAGTGGTAGGTGGGGTCAGAGGCAAAAAGGGTTTGCAGCAACAGATGTGACTCTTAACTTTGTATAGTAAGCTACAATGTTGTTGCTGTTGTTGTTGTTTAGTCATTTAGTCGTGTCCGGCTCTTCTTGACCCCATGGTCCAGAGCACGCCAGGCACTCCTGTCTTCCACTGCCTCCTGCAGTTTAGTCAGACTCATGTTGGTAGCTTCGAGAACACTGTCCAAACATCTCATCCTCTGTTGTCCCCTTCTCCTTCTGCCCTCAGTCTTTCCCAACATCAGGGTCTTTTCCAGGGAGTCTTCTCTTCTCATGAGGTGGCCAAAGTATTGGAGCCTCAGCTTCAGGATCTGTCTTTCCAGTGAGCACTCGGGGCTGTTTTCCTTAAGAATGGATAGGTTTGATCTTCTTGTAGTCCACGGGACTCTCAAGAGTCTCCTCCAGCACCATAATTCAAAAGCATCCATTCTTCAGCAATCGGCCTTCTTTATGGCCCAGTTCTCACTTGCATACATTACTACTGGGAAAACCATAGCTTTAACTATACGGACCTTTGTCGGCAAGTAGGCTACAGTACTGCCACACAAAAGACAGAGGAGTGTGCATGTCTCCTCCAGCCAGGCAAAAGCATTCAAGGATGGCACAGGACTGGTGAGGTGTGTGACTTGGGAAAATGAAAACAAAACACCCTGTTTTCCTTACCCTTCCATCCCCAGTGGCTACTGGTCTAAAACAGCTCCTTAGGAATCAATCCTCTGCACACACTACTTTGGCAGCAAGCACCATCAAACACAAGCAGGATTTATGAATCTAGAATGTGCAATAATCAGGCCAGATTAAGATTGGTTGAAGCCAATTAGCTGTGCTAATTTGGGCAGAAGGGAACAGAAAAACATGGCATTAATAGTACAAAAATGCAACACTCTGGTTCAAGGAACAAAAAGTTGATGCCTACAAGCACAAATTGCTCCCTTTGCAGAAATTTTATACTTTCTTATATATCTCCACAACAGCTATGTGCAGTAGGCCAGGCTGAGAGTTGGTGCCTGGCCCAAGGGATGAAGTGAGCAAAAACAATGGCTTAAGTGAAAGTGATTTAAAAATGTGAAACTACACATGCTCAAGGGGTTTTTTAAATCAAGTTTGGCAAAATGTTTTTTGAGCCTCTAAGCAGGCATGGCCAAACTTGGCCTTCCAGCTGTTTTGGGACTACAATTCCCATCATCCCTGACCACTGGTCCTGTTAGCTAGGGATGATAGGAGCTGTAGTCCCAAAACAGCTGGAAGGCCATGTTTGGCCATGCCTGCTCTACAGGCTCAATATTTTTTTTGTTGGTCCACAAAAGCTTATGTTGCAACTTTTTTTTTAAACACCACTTTTTGCGATACCTTATTCCATGTGTTCAGTTTCTGGGAGAAGGGGACCCTATTTGGGGAAATGCACCACAACTCCCAAACACCTCGATCCTGCCTAGCCTGCTGCTCTTTCTTCTTAAAGAGTTCTTTATCTTTGAACCAGACTTGAAATGGGCAACACTTCAACCAGAAGATGTCTTCAAGGAGATGTCTTTCCTCTGAAGGCCCTTCACATAGAAGAAGACTGCCCTCTGTATGCATGGTCTCCCTATTCATATGGCTAATGCCTGCCAATTTTGCAGATTGCTACAACCCAATCCAATTCAGTTCATAGTTTGCACAGAGCAATCTTCAAATGCCTGCAGGTCTTTTTGTTCAGCAAAGCACAGTTGAAGCTGGAGGCTGTTTCGGAGATATGTTTGGTCTAGAAATGCTTTGCTCTCATTCACATCCTGACACACCAGAGCATGCAAGCCTGCCTCTCTCTCTCCCCAGCTTTTCTTTGGAGGTATTTAGTTGCTGGCTGGCTGCTCAGATGCTGACTGACAGTGTCCTTGAATTGCTCCTTGCAAACCAGCTGCAATAAAGTCAAATAGGAAAGAGATGGAATGCCTTCTTGCAGTCTTTGAATCCATTCTTCCAGAACAAAAATGAGCCTCCCAATGAAAAGTTAAGGAAATGCAAATGGACAGCGGTACCTCGGAAGTCGAACGGAATCCGTTTCCATTTGACTTCCAAAACATTCGGAAACCAAGGCACGGCTTCCGATTGGCTGCAGGAGCTTCCTGCAGCCAATCGAAAGCCGAAGAAGCCACACCAGACGTTCGGGTTCCAAAGAACGTTTGCAAACCATAACACTCACTTCCGGGTTTACGACGTTCGGGATCCAAGGTACGACTGTATAGATTTCGATACACACTTACCTGCAAGTATGCCTCACTGCACTCAGTGAGACTTACTTCTGAGTAGGCACACATATTGTATGGCTAGTGTCACATTTTAGTCACTAGGTGGTACTGTATTAGACTTAAGGCTTGCAAGATCTCCTTTGTTAAAAAAATTAGAACTCTGGGATCTACCAACTAGAAGCTAGTGCAAAAAGCACACCTTTAGCCTTAAACTATCTTGAACTGAGGAATTTTGTTTTCAGTACTAGAACTAATTGGAACTCACAGTCCTTTCACAAAAACATTCACCCCTGGTCATTCCAAGCTTTCCTCATTTCAGTAGATCAATTTTGTTGCTCTTGCTCCTATCATTAAAAACTGAGAATCAACATACTCTACGAATGTACTGCAAATCATCCCAATATCATCCAGTAGATCCTGTTCCACAGAAACAGCAGTTATCATATACTTAGGTCACATCAGTATTTTTTAAACCATAAAAACCAAACTTTTTTTATTGGAACAGTTTATTTTGTCCTATTAAACAAATAAGGCAAGGTGTTTAAAACTCAAAACAAAGAACTGTATCATACTCAAAAGGAACATGTAATAAAAAGTTGCTTTCATACATATACAAACTAAGGATTCCAATCCATTCTAATATGTACAAATCAGACAAATCTCTACAAAAGAGAAATTTCAAGTTACATTGGGTATGATGTGCTAACTTCATTACAAAACATTAAAGCGACTAACTTCACATTTAAGTCTTTCACAGAACCAACAACCAAACACTTGATTTAGGGCGGTGGGAAGAAAAGATGGCAGCTTATCCGGAATGCTTCAAGCTGTGTTTATGGACCCATCAACCACGAGAATGAGATTTTATAAGTCTATGAATACCTTCCTTTAAACACTGTTTGCTCTGGACAGCATTCTTTCAGAAGAAGTCCCTAAAATTACAATCTGGGTGATAGATGAAGTGGTATATTCCTGCAGAAGAATTCAAAATAAGAGCAGGAGTCTTTGATTAGGCTGAATTTACTGAAGATGGCTTCCTGATGCTGAACTACAATAGCAGGAATCCAGCAATTCATTCTCATATCTTTTAGATTGGGAGTGGGGGGGGATGGGACTACGTTACTGAGACTGCTGTGCTTTTTCATTCATTTGCTTCCACAACAAAAATAGTAATATTTCATTAGGAGACTCATTAAGAGTCTGGCTGGTTGCAGACAAGACATCCCAAACACATGTATTTCCCTGCTACCATGGCACATATTGTAAAGGCAAAGATTCCCAGCTAAAGGACCATCTCCTTTATGTGAGAGCAAGTTCCTCACCTAAATACCTGAATGTGAAATACTGTGGGGTAGGCATCATAACCAGAGGCAAAAGGCACCCACTTTAGCAGCCATCTGGCTTCACTGGGTTACTGAGAAAGGTCCTCCCACCTGATTCACATAGTCGAAAATTCCATTTAAAGCAAGGAAACAGTAGAAGGAGGGGGTGCAAAATAAATTTACTTGCGCAGTAAATAAAGTTCATTTCTGCTGCAGGTAGCATCCCCTCACTTTACCCCTTTGCTTGCACCTCCATAGTTAAATTGCAAATGACTGGCTTTCTAGCCTTTCATGGCAGATTTCTATTTGCTAGAACCATTAACAAAAACGAGTATTTCAAAAGGTTAACTTGCGTTGCAAACTGTACATACTTGAACAGCAGCTGATCAGCATGGCTTTACAGGGAACGTAATTACTTTGGTTTATTTTAATACTTCTCTTTCTGTCACTGAACTTGTACAACCGGATTGCTAATTTCTGCTCAGCTTTTTTAGGGCATCTCCATCCAGGGCAGTGATGGGGAACCTGTGGCCCTCCAGCTGCTACTGGACTACAACTCCCATCATCCCTGGGCATTGGCTCCCAGCGTCCTTGCGTGTTGGGAGTCACAACAACAACATGTGGAGGGCCAGAGGTTCCCCACCCCTGATCTGGGCTAAGCCAAATATATCCTTGGTCATTAGAAAGAGAAACACTGGCAACCACTGCTCTTCAGCAGGTGGTCTTAACAGCAATGCTTCCCTATATTTTTGAAAAGAGCTTGGGCTCTGCTTACAATGATGACAATCTTCCTTCAGCAGCAGGAAGGGCTTGGATGACTTCACCCTTCCCCACTAGCTCATGAAACGTAAACTTGGTTCAGGTCACACTCACCACATGCAAAAGAATGCATGGCCTATGGTGCAACTGGGATGAGAGTACAGCATTAACGGCCACAGTGGAGCTGGGATAAGTGAAGAGGAGAGATTGAAGGCTAGGTCATGATCTCTCCCCCACACCACCCTAAAAGGTTAGTACCAGAGTGTTTAATCCTCTGCTGCAACCAGAGTAAAACAGAAGTTACACACGGGCTGTCACAAATTTTCAGGCCCTGAGCAGCAAGAATGGAAGTGTATCTGCACATTTCTGCCTTTATTCCAGTTTATTATGCTGCAACATCAAGAACTGTAGAGACTGGCTAGGATGCAACAGGCATGCCGCCTTCCAGCCACAAATGTGACATTTTAGCAACCCGCTTCCTATGCACCCTCTGAAGGTCATGGGACCCTCTGAGGAGCAATGTATGAGGCACAGGGAGGCTGCTGCTGGACTGGAAGACTCTGTGCTCCCTTCATTCACATGTTGACGCAAGAGGCCCTTTTATAGAGCTTGGTCATTGTGTTCTGATACTTGTGAAACCTGGGGAGGCCAATAACCACAGGCACATTCCATCATAAATTTCTCTTGTGCAAATCCAACAGCAACGAGTGAGAATTGCACAGAGCATCAGACACACTCTCGCACACTTTGTTTTAGCAGGAGTCCTGCTGCTTAGAAATGAATGAAATTGCTTTATTAAGCTTGACACATCAAGCTTTCCTAAAAGGCCATTCTGATATTATTCTTTTGAGCCAACAGATTGTTATTTTAATCTTAACTGACGTCCTTAACCTTTCCAAATAAACAGAAAAACACATTCTAGTTTAAAATTTAAAACTAATATTGCAAGCCTCAAACAAATTAAGCTCAAAATAGCAAAGCCCATAAACATTCACAATTCCTTAAATATTTCAAATCTCTCATTATCTCAAGAGAGTTCGTAATTTCCTGAGTTGCAAGTACTTTGACATTCCTCTGCTGCAAGGAATTCTGAAGAAATACAAAGTAGGATTCACGTTTTCTTGAGTGATGGGTTGGTTTCACATTAATATATTTTAAAAATACCAAGGAATCACTCAAATGTTATCAGCATTCACTCATAAAGTACACAGTGGAAAGGATATAAATATAAGCCTGAAATTCAATGCTTTAAAAGGGGGAATGTAAGGCATGGGACTTTTAGAGGCTTTTGGAAGGGACAAAAAGAGTTTATATTCCTTTTCAAACGCTGGAGCAGGTTGCATATTTTTGCCAGTGAATCACTTTTCTTTTAAAAACCTATTTCCAGAGTACCATTAAACAGTAACAGGGGGAGTTTAAAGAGGGAGCAGTTTAATACAAAGTGGTTGCTGCATAAAGGAGATACGGAAGTTAAGCTATGCATCTTTTATTGGGCCAAATTAGGCGAACAGACAAGTGTGCAAGGTTTCTGGTTTCACAAGCACTTAAGAGTTTCACAAAAAGAAGCATACGTTTGCATCCTTGCAGTCCAACCTAAGTGCATCCAACAAAAGACAGCATTTTACCTACTTTGTTTTCTTCATGAACCAATGAGGCAGCCTTACACCACAGGATGGGATAAACCCACAAGGCAGAAAACAGGCCTGTGAGACTGACTGGCCATCTGAGCACCAACATTCTTTTAGTCTGTTTCCAACTGTTCCTCCAAAATATATAGACAGGGTCCAAAAGTAACAGGACTTCTCTGAAGCAACCTGCGATCTATTCAGAACACATCTAACACTGAAACACAAGCATAATCTGTTCATGAGGACTCCACATAATGGCATTCCTGAGTTTGAAAAGGTGCTACAGTAAATGGAGGAAGCAGCCACTGGCTTGCTTTGCTTTGCTTTGCTAACACATTGCCATTGTTTGCACACAACGCTAGGCCAGGCCATGGCTTAACACACAGCAGGCATTTTGCTCCTCCCTGGTCCTGTTGCTGTTGCACTGCATCGAGTTAAGCTGCGATTTGATTTAGTGTGTCTTCTGAACCTGGGCTCATGGCTTAGCTCTCTCCAAATCATAAACCATAGGACAAACCTTGGTTACAGCATGTGGTTTGTCTGTGAGAGCTAAATCACAAGACTGGGTTCAGAGGACACACTAAGCCAAATCATGGCTTTGCTCGGTGCAGCCCAGCAGATTGACCAGAGTAGGAACAAAGCCACCATCTCCTCTCTGGGAATTTGTTCATGCTAAGCTATGGTTTGGCTTAGTGTCACGTGAAAACCGGACCATTTAAAACAGAAATCCACCTACACAGTAGTCATAGAAACGCAGTTTATTGTTAGGGATGATGGATATCTATTCTACTGGCAGGCTTTCCTCAGAAGTTCTGCTGGCGTCTCTTCTTTGCTTCAATGGCATCAAGAATAGGCTGCCGTTTCGACTGATACCTTTGGCGAACTTCTTCTATCTCCTGCTCCATCATGGGGTCAAGCGCCCCAAGTCTTCTTTGAAGTTCTTCAACAGTCCAGTTTCTCAGCTGAAGAAAAACACAAAAGCAGTGAGCTTGCAACAGCAGAAAACCCGGAGCTTAACAAAGGGCCTGTGCTGGGAAATTTACTCTGCTTCTTCTGAGCAATAAAGTAAAAGGGCTTTACTTTAAGAGTAACAATTCTGAATCCCATTAAATTTACTGACAAAGGCTACAAACAAACTTTGGCTTAGATCCTGAGTTGCCTTTCCATTTCTGGTGAAAGGTAATTATAATTAATCCTTTCTCCTTGCAGTTGTTCCCTACACCAACTTCCATGCCATTCTGGAGAGTTGCCCCAACCCTCCAGAACTAGAAACAGCGTATCTTGAGAAGGATTCCTCTTAAGGGATGTCCCAAGCCTCGAACGGCAGAAACTCAAAACTTTTTATGTAACGAAACATCTTCACAAACCTTTAAATACACAAAATACAGATAACACTGTGCTTCTACCTGACTTCAATGGAGTGAGAAAAGGGAGTTTAAACCTTTTTAAAAAATTAATGAATAAAGTATTTGAAGCAGGAAGGAAACAATTTGCAGTATTATGTACAGTTACACATTTGCTGTAGAAGGGTGAACATTCTCAATTCAGCCACTGTATGTCTGTTCCTTGAATATGGCTCCACCGCTCTCAGATGTCTGGTGTGTGTAGCCTGTGAAACAGCATTCTTTGCGGCAGCCCCATCAACTGTGGTACTCCCTCCCCAGAGGTGCATCTGACAGCTTTACTATACAGTTTTCGGCAAATGCTGAAGACACACCTCTTCACCTTGGTTTTTGACACGTGAGGTGTATATTTTAAAGAGTTTTATACCCCACCTTTCCTCCAAAGAGCTCAAGGCAGAGCACATGGTTCCCACCCACCCATTTATCCCCACAATCCTGCGAGGCACATGGAAGTGAGAGCGAATGGCCTCAAGTGAGCTCCACGCTTGAGTGGGGATTTAAATCCACTCTCCCTCACTCTAGTCTGAATCACCAGCAGCAATTTTTCATTAGCATTTCGTCAACAATAAATCTCACTTGACTCCATGTTGAGCACTGTCTTTGTATATATGGAGATTCATAGAACTGTAGAGTTGGAAAAGATCACATGGGTCATCTAGCCCAACCCCCTGCAATGCAGGAATCTTTTGCCCAATGTGGGTTGAGTCTCATACTCAACCCACTTCCCACCACAAGTAATAACCAGCTGTGCCTTTTGCTACCAAGTAGTGGACATCCACATAATTTGTTTGCCCAATTTGGTGTTCCCAATCTTCTGCTTGGATCAAAATCCCAGGGATTACTAGATTGGATGGCAGGGAATGAATACAATCTTTCATCACCAAACAAGCTGGTGGCTGAAACTATTAGACTCCAATGAGAGAGGTGGTGTTTCCTTTTAAGCAGTGCCTGGCCTTGTTCCAATTAGTTCAGACCAGAAACAAGACAGTACCAGTGCATGGCTTTTGGGCTGTATAATATCTAGCAGCCTTGTCTGAAGCTTGCCTTAGTTAACACAGAGATGCAATGAGTTTCATCACATCAGCACTGCAAAGTAGTATTGTGGATCATGCTCTAAATCCTCCTGGTTCTACAGGGTACTCTCATACAGAAGACACCCCAAAGTTGTAAACAGTAATGAAGCATGACTTTGTGGAATTTCATTATCGTCATTATTTGCAACGTAAGGTCTTCTCGCCTCCTCCACCACCAGCAACTGCTTTAAAACTTTTCAATAATGCATAGAGTATTACTGCACAAGGGAAATAAGTACTTTAGCAAGAGGGCACAGATTTTTGCCTATCTTGTAAGGAAGTTGTTCATTAGGGGGGGGGGAAGCACTTCCCCCATCAGATGCATTATGCATGCACATTAACACAGCTTTAGCTGACAGCCCTTTAAGTTGATGTATGGGACCTGCTACAATTCTATGCTAATTGTATAACATCTGTTTTAAAGAAGGTGATTGTTCAATGTTCAGCCCTCAGGAGCTGAAAGGATATAATAAAGTATAACAGTAAAGACAGACAAAATTAATTCAGTGCTGAGGGTCTATATAAAGAGATCAGTCAGCCCTAACCATTAAATGACTACCAGATGTTTAACAGAATTTTCTTCAAGCCTTAGAGTTCTTCTGAATCTCTAAGAGGCCGTCGTCCTGAGTGTTTCAGGACATAGGATAGAGATTTCCAGTTTTTGTTTATTTTGCCAGGGGACTATTTTAAAGGAATCCTGCCTTGAGAGTTTTTACTAGTGGTATATGTATGGGAAGAAGCCTTCTTTGAATGTGTAAGGGCTCACATTTTGTAGAAGGGGCACATTCTGGTTCCACCCCCAGGTCTCCCATTTATGCCAGTCCCACCCTCCTTCCTGGCCTTTGCACATTCAGCGTACAACCAGGGCCGGGGCTTTTTCGGCTGTGGCTCCGATCTGGTGGAACGCTCTGTCACAAGAGACTAGGGCCCTGCTGGATTTGACATCTTTCCGCAGAGCCTGCAAGACAGAGCTGTTCCACCAGGCCTTTGGCCAAGGCACAGCCTGACCCCCTCCTTTGGTAATTCACAGAACTCTAGCCCAATGGTTGCCATCAATTTGATTTGAACTGATTTTAGAATGAATTGATTTTAGAATGCTGTATTATTTTACTGTTGTTAGCCACTCTGAGCCCGGCTTCGGCTGGGATATAGATAAAAGTCTATTTATTATTATTATTATTATTATTATTATTATTATTATTATTATTATTATTATTATTACAGGTTTGAAGGATTCCAGTCATGTTGAGCTGAACATGCAGAGCTTTGCACTCAACATGTGACAGGTCAGGGGAGGAAGGGGCAGGTGTGGAGACCTAGTGTGCTTTGCAGTTGAGTAGAATTTGATCCCATGTCCCTGTTCCAAGTTCAACACTCTAGCCAGTGCAGCACTCTCAGTGACAGGTAAGAGGAGAAGGGAGACTATTTAACTGATTGCACTGAACACGGACGTGTGTCAAAGGTTCCAAGTACAAGGAATGGGGGAGATTTCACTCTCCACATTTTCACTGCACAACCAGCCCTGTATATACCTTGAATACCTGATAAAATCAATGTCCTTCCCCAAACAATTCTGGATAGCTGTGAAGTTATCAGGTAGCTTTGTCACTACCCATGCTATTTCTGCACCAATATATAATCCATACTATGCAGTAACTTTCCCACTGCCAACAAAGAAGCCAGCTCTACACGGACAACAAGTGTGATTGTTCTTCCAACAGCTACATGGCTTCTACTAATGTTGGTTCTGCAGCAGGGGATACTGAACACACCATCCTCCAGATGTTGCTGAACTACAACTCCCATCATCTCGGATCAATGGTCATGCTAACTGGGGCTCAAGGGAGTTGTAGTTTAGCAACATCTGGAAGGCCATGGATTCCCCACCCAGCATTTATGCACACACAGAAATTTAATAAAATAACAACCAACCCATTTAGTGTAAGAAAAATTATTCTTGTTTAGTCTATAATACAATGATAATGAGAACTAGTGATATTACAATTGCCTGAGGAAAAAAATCTATGCATGTTTTATTGCCAAGTCAGCAATTTTATAGTATACATAAACATTTTTAAAGGATGCAATTTTCTTATTCCAGGTAAAAAAACTACATTGCACTTTGGAGCGAGATTTTAAATCCCATATTAAAGAATGATAAAATATGGATTTGATACTTGGTTATATCATTTCAGAAGACAAGACAGACTCTTACAGCACTCCAACTGACATTAAACACAAAAAGTGAAATAATTCAGTATACAAATCCTCAAAATTAATACTTTATATAAATGCTCACACTGCTGCTTAAGTGGAGACAGACTGTCTACATGCTCAGAAACGAGAGTGTGGCTACTGCAGTTAGCAGCGTTCATGAATAAAGTTTAGATCAATTGAGTACGCCCTTGAAGCTTTTGGCAGTGATTGTGTGTCAAAAGTATCCAAAAATACACCGCAAGCTAAAGGGCAGGAGGTCCAATATCCTCTCCCTGTGTGTATTAAGGCACGTCTGCCAATTAGTACTTTTTAATAGATATGGAAAGGCAAAATAAAAATAGGTTGGGAGGGCACAACCCTTCCTTATGTTAGCTATAGAGCCTGCATGAGAAGAGGGAATCTTATGCCTTTAGGATCTAAAGAATCTATCATCGTAAGCAATGATAATTGTTTTTCTCCCCCTCCCAACCTTGGCATATTTATGCCCATCATACAGTGGTGCCTCACAAGACGAAATTAATCCGTTCCGCGAGTCTCTTCGTCTTGCGGTTTTTTCGTCTTGCGAAGCACGGCTATTAGCGGCTTAGCGGCTTTAAGAAAAAGGAAACAAACTCGCAAGAACTCGCAAGACATTTCGTCTTGCGAAGCAAGCCCATAGGGAAATTCGTCTTGCGGAACGACTCAAAAAACGGAAAACCCTTTCGTCTAGCGAGTTTTTCGTCTTGTGAGGCATTCGTCTTGCGGGGCACCACTGTACCTGCATGCTCCAATCTTAGGCTCCATGACTGTCAGATGGCTGCTGATACAGTCATTTGGGAGATGCATATAGACCATGTGTGCCCAAACATTTTTCAAAGAGGGCCAGATTTAATGAAGTGAACATGTGTGAGGGCCGACCAATGTCGTTGAGCTTTTTTTTGGATTTTACCCCCGGACGTATACTGCCACGGGGGCCGGAATAGGCCCCCAAAACGGACTTTGGACACATGCCTGATATAGACCAACGAGTCCCTTAACAGCCCAGGAAAATGCATGCTAGAGGGGAGGGGAATAGGGCTTTTACGTGCTACAGAGATACCCCTCTCACCAGTGTGAAGGGTAGCACTTCGCAATCTTGGAAATAGCAGTTTTCCTGATAAGGGTGGTTATCCTGATACAAAAGGCAGCCCCATCCCACAATTTATCTCCACTGCATTCTGCGACTGGCTTATATCCCCACTATTTCACAGCGCGAAATAAATGAACCCATGAAAATCCTTTGCATTTCTC